CCATCACCATCATCATCATCATCATCATCATCATCATCATCATCATCATCATCATCATCATCATTATCCTCCTCCTCTTCCTTATCCTCCTCCTCTTCCTTCTCCTCCTCCTCCGCCTCCTCCTCCTCCGCCTCCTCCTCCTGGTGGTTTCTGGTTATGGCTTCAGGCTGCGGGGGTCCAGGGTAGGGCTGAAGCGCTGGAAGCGCCGGGTCGTGAGGGGGAGCGTGAGGAGAAGAAGGGGCAGGAAGAAGAGAGGGGGTCGGTGGAGGGCGGGAGAACGAGGGAGGGAATACTCCAGACAGATGGATGGAGTTCCTTGTGCTCCTCCTCGTTCTCTTGCTCTGGCTCCCTTCGCTTCGCCCTCCTCCCTTCTGTATCATCCGACCCCCTCTCGAGATCTCTCTCCTCCACATCCCTCCTCCTCCTTCTCCTTTATCCCTCCCTTTCCCTTTTCTCCACCCTCTCCTTTTCCTCCCCTTCCTCCCCGCACCATGGCCGCCCCGCTGGGATTCAATCCCCCTAGGAAAGACTTCTCGTCGTGCAAGGAGCTTCCCTCGGTCATGCTGACGAGCGAGAAGACTGGCTGCTGGTCGCACCTGGGCCAGGTGTCGGGAAACCACAACAGGGGCGCAGCGCGGTACAAGGAGCTGAGCCAGAGGCTGCGATTCTCTTCCGCCCCCTCAGGGCTTAGGGATGAGCAGAGCCAGCACGGGGTGGGGTAGCGAGACGGAAAGCACAGGCCTTTCTCCTCCTCGCTCTTTTCTTCATCCACCTCAAACTCCACATCCACCTTCACCTCCTCCCCCTTCCCCTACCTGGTCGCCCTCTCCGCCTCGGCCCATGCCTCCTACCCACCACCCCGCCGCCTCCTCCACCTCTTCATTTTGTCATGTTTATGTTTGTTCATTTGTGTAGTATCATTTTTCTGATTCGTCTTCTTTTCATTGCTTTATGTGTTCACTATGTATTTACTTTGAGTTGTCCTATTCGTACTATTGTTATTAGTATTGTTATGACTGCTACATTTTGTTATTATGATTCGTACTATTATTAAAGATATGTAAGTGCTCGCACGTGAATCATCTAGACAAGCCCGACCGCCGCTAAGCGGCACAGCGCTTCCGTAGTCTTCTCTGGGGTTCAAAGCGATGCCTCAGATGGCATGGATCTCGGGCTGAACCTTTTTTACGAGGTTGTTCGATCGTTGGGCACTGCCGCCATAGTCTCGGCCGGCAGTTGCCCTGGGGTGCCCGCGTGCCCCGCCTGCCCGCCGTGCCCGGCGGTGCCAGCGTGCCCAGGCGCGCCACCGCTCCCCGAGCCGACGTGCGGGGTGAGCGACCCCGAGGTGCTGGCGGGCAACAGCCGCCTGTGGGCCTGGACGGTGCTGCTACTCGGGGCCAGCTCGACGTTCGTCGCCCTCGGCTTCTTGTGCAATGGCGGCCGCAGCCCCAGTGGGGCCGCTGCCCCTGCAGGCGGCGCCGGGGCTGGGAGTGGCGGCGCAGGCGGTGCAGGCGGCGGTAGCCTGGGCCTTCGTATGGTACGCGACGCCGGAGGTCCTGTGGCACCAGAGGCTGCTGCTCGGCGTGCTGGCGTCATCGGCGACTAGGTTCCTCATTGTCACGCCAGATGGACAGGTATATGATGAAGAGTATGGTCCTGCCAATGCAGACGTGGTGGGGATCCGCTTCGCGACGCAGCGGTGGCCGCCTCCTCCCGGCGTGACGAGGGCGATGTGCTACAGGTTCGCTGCCGCTCCGACGGCGGCTCAGATCGCCCAGTGGACGGGTGAGGCGACCGCCCACGCCCTGGCGCTGCAGACTACGGTGGCGCCGCTCCCCGCGCTGGTGCACGGCAGCGCGACGCCGCCGGGGGGGCCAGCCGCCGCGCCTGCTCCTGAGCCGCCCGCGCCTGGCGCGGCCGCCGTCGCGGGTGCTGCACCCGCGCCCGCCCAGGGCGAAGCAGGCAGCTGGCTGGCAGTCGAGACGCGGGCTGGGCTTCGTCGCGGTGAGGCGGTGGCCCTCTCGCCACAGGCCATTGTGCAGGGCACACGTGCTATGCAGGAGCAGGGGGTGCCGCCGCAGTGGGTGCTGCTCGCCTTCGTACCGCCTGGTGGTGAGATCGAGTTCGCGGGGGCGGAAGCGGTGGGCGACGCGCGGCTGATGACCGTGACGACCATCGGTGGGCAGAGAGTGAAGGCGCTGTTCCGAGCGGCAGTGGACGCCGTGCAGGAGGTGAACTTCGTGGATTTCCCGGTGCCAGGTCCTCGCACGACATTGTGGTGCCTGAAGTTCATCAATCGTCGCAATGGAGGTGCCATTGATTGGCACCGCTTCTGGGAGCACACGCACGGCCTAAAGGCCGAGTTTTGGGGCGTCGGTGAGCATCTCATGATCATGCACGCCGTGGACCTGGCCCTCACGTACGACGCCCTTGATGTCGTAAACTTGGGAGCCTTCGAGCTGATGATCAGGAAGGCCCAACTCATCGAGTACAGCTACTCCGAGATGGGCGGCGGCGGGAGGTCCAGCGACGGCGCCGAGGCTGACGGCAAGGAGAAGAAGGACAAGAAGGGCAAGGGCCGTGGCGGCCTCATGCGAGTGGGGCTCTACGACGAGTCCCAGATCTTCATGGGGGGCCACAAGGAGTTCGGGGACTACGTGTCGAAGGAGGTGGAGCGCGACGCCAGCGTGCTCAAGCAGGTTCGCAAGGCCCGCGAGGAGCGGGCCGCGGCGGGCCGCTAGCCCTACGAGAAGGCCGCCCGATCAGGCCTCCTGTCTGATCGGGCTCTTGGCGAGGGGACTCTCGTCCCCTCGCCCATGCGGGTGGCTGCCGCGTCCTCGGACATGAAGGCTGCCTACGGTTTGGGAGTGCCAGCCGCTGACGGTCGACAGCGCGACCTGTTCCCGCTGCCCGATGTGTTTCAGGGGCCATCCAGTTTTTCAGCGTCGACACGACCGAGCCTGTCTCGACGCTCACGCCAGCGCCTCCATGCGCACCAGCACGAGCTGAATTGGGCGAGCGATATGGTGGAGTCGCTCAATGAGATGAGTGCTGGGCCGCAATACCGCGGCGTGCTGGGGGCGCAGGCCACCGAGAGCCAGCAGATGGTGCTCGATCGTCTTCTTTCGTGTGCTCAAGAGGTGGGTCGCCCCCCTCCTGGGCTTTCAGGCCAGGAAGCCTTGCGAGAGCTTCTGGCCCGCCGGGGCTACGACGGCGAGCCCGCGACCCTGGCCAACCTTGATGTTGACTGTCTGGCGCTTCCTGAGCGGGGTCACCGAGCGGTACCTCTTTTGGAACTGGATGAGCCAGCCGGTGTGGAAATCACAAGGATCCTGCAGGAGAAGCTCTTGCCAAAAGAGGAGGCGGAGCAGCGTAAGTCCAGTTCGGGAGTGAAGAAGGTTTTCACGGATCCTCGCCTTCGTAATCGCCGTGAATACTTGAAACTGGTGAAGCGGCTTGAGGCGTGCGGTCTTATCGAGTACAGGGCGCACCGCGAGGAGGATGTCGGTGTGTTCGCAGTCCACAAAAAAGATGGCAGACAACGTATGATCATTGATGCCCGATGGGCCAACTCTCACTTTGCTGACCCGCCAGACGTCAAGCTGGCCACGGGCCAAAGTTTCGCCATGCTTGAGGTCGACGCAGGCGAGCCCGTGTGGCTGGGCGGAGTGGACATCGTGAATTGTTTTTACACGCTGGAGCTCCCGACCGAGTTCCGCGGGTATTTCGCCCTTCCTCGCCTTCGAGCCCGCGACGTTGGTGGAGACGGTGACGGGGTCGTATTTCCATGCTTGAAGGTGATCCCGATGGGGTGGAATCAAGCGCTGATGGCCTGTCAGATCATCCACGAAGCGATGGTGGACAAGATCGAGGGGATCTCGCCCGCCAACAGGATGTCCGACGGGGCCGAGGTGCCAGCCATGCAGCCGATGGTGCACACGGAGTACGTGGACAACTTCGTGGCGTACGCTGGCGAGCAAGGCCCTGTGGCTGAGGCTGCTCGGCGGGTGGACGCCCTGTTCCGCTCAAAGGGGCTCCCCACCCACGGGGTCGAGGTGAGCCAGGGCGGCGCTTCGCTCGGCTGGGAGTTCGCGACCGACACCAGCCTGGTGGGGCCGAGTCGGCTTCGCCTCTGGCGGCTGCGGCTGGGCATTCAGGAGGTGCTACGTCGCCCGAGGGTGTCGGGCCGCGTGATCGAGATCATCATAGGCCACCTCACCTTCGTGGGCTTGCTGCGCCGTGAGTTCCTGGCAGTTTTCGGGGCCGTTTACGCCTTCGTCAGCCAGAATCGTGAGCGAGAGGTTGCACTCTGGCCTGCCGTCAGGAGGGAGTTGAAATGGGCGTCCTCTCTACTTCCTTTGCTGCGTCGTGATCTCGGGGCAGCGTGGTCGGACACTGTCTGTGTCAGCGACGCGTCGCCGTGGGGCCGCGGCGTAGTAGAGGGGGAACGGGCGGTGCCGCTCATTGCAGCTGCCGGGCGGGTGAGCGAGCGCTGGCGCTTCTCGAAGAGTGAGGAGCTCGGCGCCCGGGCTCGACTGCACTGCGAGCTGCAGCAGAGCAGGCTGCGATCGCAGGACAAGGACAACCAATGGCCAGACAGCTGTACCCCTTCCTCAGACTTCAGAGAAATCAGCCCTGAACTCATGAAAGGCGAATGGAGAGTTGTGTCTGCTGGCCGCTGGTGGAAGTCCGAACACATGCCCCTGCTCGAGGCTAGGGCGGTCCTCTGGGCCCTGAAGCACCAGCTCCGACGTCGGAGGTCCTTTGGCAAAAAGCTTTTGTTCATCGTCGACGCTATGAGTATCGCTCTGATGTTTTCAAAGGGGAGATCGTCGTCATCACCTATGAATCGCATCTGCAGACAATGGAGCGCACTATGTCTCGGAGCCAATGTTATGCCAAGCGTACGATGGATCATGAGCGAGCTAAACCCAGCAGATGAGCCATCACGTATATATGCACCACCATCAACGTCATCAGCACTACATCGTCATTTCCTCGGGTCCGTACCACGTCTTGGATCCGATTCAGGCAGCCCGAGGGTGGGACACCGGGGCCACTCAGAGCGCGATGCTGCGCAGCCCTTCCCTGGCGGCGACAGCGCCGCCCGCGGCGAGCAGCGGGCAGCTCAGCCGAGCGGCGGCCGCTGCGACCTCAGCGACTCGGAGGCCGACAGCAGCAGCCGAGGCGAAGGCCAAGCGGGCCGCCCAGAGGAGGACACGCCAGTCCGAGGCGAAGGCCTACCAGTCCTCGAAGGGCCGCACCTTCCTGGAGGCCCGCTCGGTGTCGAAGCCCGTGGAGGCGCTGTACAACACTCTGATGGACGAGTTCGAGCGCTGGGCGGCGGCCGAGCAGCTGGAGCTGCGGACGCTGGCGCAGCGCGACGCAGCGCTGGCGAGGTACTCGACCTTCCTCTTCTTCGAGGGCCACTCAGCGAGCGACTTCAGCAAGACGAGGGCGGCGGCCGCCTTCCGTTGGCTCGACGTGTCGAAGTCGGGCGTGGAGCTGCAGCGGGCGCGGCGGGCCCAGATCGGGTTCTGCAAGGTAGCGCCCGAGCGGTCGAGGCTGCCCATCCCGCTGCTGATGGTAGCTGCGATCGCCAACGAGATGGTGTACATGGGGGTCCCCTGGTACATGCCGATCGCCGTGCTGCTCCAG